ATTTGGCAGACCTTGAAGAATTTTGAAAAGAATAATGGGCTTATAATATTATTTTCTTTATATATTATTATATATATATTCTTTATATATATATATATATATATATATATATATATATATATATATATATATATATATATATATATATATATATATATATATATTTTTTTTTTTTATAATAATGATGTTGCACAATCCAGGTGTGGAAAGCTCTTAGAGAATTACCCATAAAGACTCACAGCTGTAATCGCTGCCAAAGGTGATTCTAACATGTATTGACTCAGGGGGTTGAATACTTATCTAATCAAGATATATTTGTGTTTTTATTTATCATAAGAAAATTCTGTGTAGATCATTGACGAAGAATGTCAAATCAATTTTAATCCCACTTTAACACAACAAAATGTGGAAAAAGTCAAGGGGTGTGAATATTTTCTGAAGGCACTGAATGTGAAAACAGCGCGTTTCTATGATCTGTGGTTTAAAAAAATATAAGAAGAAAGGTCCTAGAAAATGCTTCTTTGTAGCTAGCTTTCCATCTGATTGGTGAATTTTCACCCGAATATTCTAAAATCCGAATTTTCCCACCAGAGATGTTTCCATCAAATGGACATGTTGCAGATAAACGGCTGTGCGTGACGACGTAGTGCACATAAAAACACCTTTTGCGGTTAAATTCCCATGTACAGAATAAAAAATACAAGTTAAATGGGGTTTCCATCTGTTGATGATCACAAGTTTACTGGAGAACGGAGACCAAGTAGAGACTTTCGGACAAGGTGGATAATTGTATAATATAAGGCAGTTTATTCAGAGGTAAAGATATCTGTAAATAGCGTGCACGGACCCGTTCGTCAACCTCGTAGGGAGATATCTGAGAGCGAGCGCCTAAACATTGTGTGCTGACATTTTATACAATAAAATAAAGTAGGTTGATTCTAGTAGTTCTGATCTTCTGATTGGTCCTGATGAGTTGGTCGAGGTCACCTCCATTGCATTGGCTCTGAGTCGGGTTCTCTGTCTTCAGATGTTCAGCCTAAGAGAAGGGGGTTTTTGTGTGTGTGTGTGCTTAACAATGATGATGTGTGTGTGTGTGTGTGTGCGTGTGTGTATGTGTGTGTGTGTGTGTGTGTGTGTGTATGTGTGTGTATGTTTAACAATGATGATGTGTGTGTGTGTGTGCGTGTGTGTATGTGTGTGTGTGTGTGTGTGTGTATGTGTGTGTATGTTTAACAATGATGATGTGTGTGTGTGTGTGTGTGTGTGTATATGTGTGTGTGTGTGGGGGTGTGTGTGTATGTCCTCAGAGCAAGAAGTCGTGAGTTTGGGAGAACTGAGAGACCTATGGCGTGGGTGTTGTCCATAGCCACCTGCTGATAAGGCCGACAAGATAGAAGTCTTTGTGCATTGTATTAAATACAAAGGCCCAACACAAGATGGGTCATGCACAAGATTTTAGTCAGACCAAGCTATAACATTATATATTTACTACGACAAATCCCTCTCTTCACGTCTCCCCAGAGACGTGACCAAGTAACAGTAAAGAAGGAAAACTTTAAGACGTGACACAAGCTAACAGTGTAATTGGCAAAATAGGGAAAACTTTATCAGAAGATAAAGTTTTGATTCCCCCTCTTCACGTCTCACAAGAGACGTGACATAAAGCTTAAATGCTGCAATTTGGCAAAATAGGGAAAACTTTATCAGAAGATAAAGTTTTAATTCCCCCTCTTCACGTCTCACAAGAGACGTGACACAAGCTTAATAGTGCAATTGGCAAAATAGGGAAAACTTTATCAGAAGATAAAGTTTTACATTCCCCCTCTTCACGTCTCACAAGAGACGTGACAAAAAGCTTAAATGCTGCAATTGGCAAAATAGGGAAAACTTTATCAGAAGATAAAGTTTTACATTCCCCCTCTTCACGTCTCACAAGAGACGTGACAAAAAGCTTAAATGCTATTCATCATCCAGATATCCTTGGTCAGCATCGTCAATAGCAAGCAAAGGAAACATCTGACCGTTATCTGCAGGATGTGGATCAATAGCGGTGGTTATAATCCTGGTTGTCAGCGTCCGTATGCATGGAATGCAACAGCATCCACAAAGCACTAGAATTGCAGCAAAAACAGAGATGGATACAAGTATAGAAGAAACAAGCGTTTTATATTTACCAAACGCATCCATCCAAGAGTCCCACATTGAAGTATCCACCCCTGAGTGGCTCTTCATTTTGCCATTAAGAGTTCGTAACCCTTCCAGGGCGACAGTCAAGCTGCCATCTGTGGCTGTATTGTTGGGAATAAAGGTACAACATTGTTCACCAAACATAGCACATACTCCTCCTTTTTCAGCCAGGAGCATGTCGACAGCAATACGATTTTGGAAAGCCATGAGAGAGGTCGCAGCCAACTGGCCATGCACCGCCTCAAAACCTTGTTGTGTCCAATTGCCTAATTTTTGAACATTAAAATGGACATAATTGATTCTGTCAACATTTTTATTAATCGTGCACCACCAGCAAAATGAAGATTCAAAACCTGCGGCTACTTGGTCAATCAATTTATACTCATCTGGTACCCCCCTAGGGACCCCAATTGCATCAATGTAGGTTGGGTCCCCATGAGTAGGGCCCACAGCGCGCCTGGTCCTGGTAGGAATTAAGTCAGACACATGGGTCACCAGCTCCTGAACACCTGTTGGATACACAGAAATTGGTAGCAAAAGCGAGACTAGTGCACAGGTGCCTGTGGCATTTCCAGGCAGTCCATCAAACAGATGAACGCCTCCACACCACCACCAGACATCAGCCCTGGAAACAGGTTTAAACTCAGCATTAGGCGTATAGATAAACCGACACCATCCAACAGGTACCATACCCAACAATGGTAGACCTTTCGTGAGATTAACACAGGTAAAGTTAGCTCTAGCCACCTGATAGGAAAAAATTGGTTTCTTAGTTGCTTTAGTAACCAAGGGATGAACTACGTCCCATAGTGTACAATTTGCGGAAGGGTTGTCATGTTTCATGACAGACAGGAAGCATTCTGGCGTAATGGCGGCAGGGATAATGCGAAGCAATGGCCGTGCCCCCATACAAACCACACAACTCTGATGAGTCACCTTTGCCGCTTCCTCAGTCAACAAGAGCCAGTTGTTAGAAAGGCCGGAGACACCTGTAGCGGTCAGGATTGCATCATCCAAAGTAGGTGGAGTGGTAAGTAAAATAATAGAATTATTCTTATTACCATTTTCATTAATAGCCTGTGCTTTTGTGTTATTAATATGACAAATTCGAACATTCCAATGGACTGGTGCAGTGGTACAGCTTACATAAGGAGCAAGTCTAAAGTCCTGGCAGCCTAATGCAATACCAGGATAGATAGTAAATTTGAGTCCTTTAGAGTTTTTTGTCAAAGTCAAGAGTTTCCTCCATTGTTTTCCTAATGTAGTAGAGGTGCAACTGGACCAGTCATAATTAGTCTCACATACCAAGTTTGTCCAAGTCCAATCGCTATGGGTGACCCCCACTGTCATATACCAGTCCCAGTCACGGTAGTAGGTAAGTTCTCTGAAGTCTACCCACGGCACTGTCGCAGTAGTGGTAACATTAAAGGGTATACATAATGTGGTGCTTCTATACAATTGTCTGGGCCCACAGGAAAGGGTGTTAGAGACAACTTGTCGTTTATTTACGTGGTGGCTGTGGCTTACATTCTGATCTGGGCTCAATGTGTCGGAGTGCAGGTTGGTCGGACGTATGGTTGTGGCATTGAATGTGTCGTTAGGTTTACTAGTGGGTGTAATGGGTGTCTGTGTCATGTGCTGTACTGACCAGAGTATGATTCCTAGAGTAACCTCAATAGTTACAATCAGCAAAACAAGGAGTGGAGCAGAGCACCCCAGTCTCTCCCATGGTGGTCTGTCCCTCCTCTGTTTTTCCCCTCCAGTATCTGAAGATGGGAGTCTCCTCCACATATTCAGATAGTGTTGGTGTCAAGAATTTGATCCGAATTTAATGTGATTAAATCACTTCTGACTTCAGTCAGGGTTCTGGAAGGAGTTGGTGCTGGTGTACAATGTGTCAAGTGGTGCCAAGGTGCGCCTGATTTACCTTTGACCTGGACTGAGTGTGAAGTAACCTCCTTCACTTCGTACGGTCCAGTCCACCTGGGATCTTGCCACTTTCTCTTGTGGACCTTAACCCTCACCCAGTCACCAACTTTTACCTTCAGCGGCGCCGGATCTCCCGTCAGCTCCCCCTCTTGGACCTTGTGAATCTGTTTGGAGAGAGCTGCAGAGAGTTCCGTTAGTTTTCTCACATATTCAGACATTACAATTTGTTGTACATCAAGGGCGGGCATATGACCTCCCTCCCTTGGTGGACCAGGCATGACCCTACCAGTCATAATCTCATGTGGAGAGAGATGGGTGCCTGCTCCTGGAGAGGCTCTCATGGCCATCAACGCCAGGGGCAGAGCTTCAACCCACGTCAACTTTGAACCTGCACATACCTTGGCTATCTTAGCCTTCAAAGTTTGATTGGCACGTTCCACGAGGCCCTGAGATTGCGGCCGGTACACAGACCCAAACTTGTGCACAATGCCGAACCTCTCCTCCACCTGTCTCAGGTGTTGGTTACTGAAATGGGACCCGTTGTCGGATCGGATTTGTCTTGGAACCCCATACCTTGGTATGAGTTCAGTCTGCAGCCACTTAATGACCGACCTGGCATCCTCACGTGCTGTTGGTATTGCCTCAACCCATTTGGAGAATCGATCTACCATTACCAATAAGTACCTTTTCCCATTAGTTACATTATCAGCCCCCATGTCAGTGTAATCTATGCTAATGTCCTGAAAACATGCATTAGGTACTGGGTATGAACCCATGGGTGTTTGGAAAGGTTTCTTTGGGTTGTGGCTGCCACAAATGCTGCACTCATCACAAAACAAGTCTGTCATGTCCTTAATGTGTGGGTGCCACCAAATATGGGAAACCTTCTGTAAAGTTTTGAGTTTCCCTTCATGGGTGGGCCCATGAGCCTCACGTATCAGCTCGGGGCAGAGATTAGCTGGGGCCACCAACCTGCCGTCATGGCATCTCCAAAGTTCATCAGGTCCTTTGGTGGCTCCCATCTGTCCCCATACCGAGTGCTCATACGGGCCCGCTGTGAATTGTAGTTCCTTTATGTGTTGGTCTGTGAGTTCTGTTCTAGCTGGTTGAGTCTGCAGCACCATCTGTCTTGGAGTGTAGCCCCCAGCTTTCTTGGCTGCTTTGTCAGCTGCGTCATTTCCCTCGCTGACTTTGTTATTGAGTTGCTGATGTCCTTTGCACTTCATGATGGCCACCTGCTCAGGTAGTGAGACTGCTTTTATCAGTCTCTCCATTTGTGCCTTGTGTTTGATCGGAAGGTTTCCTGTTGTGGTGAAGTTACGTCTGACCCATTGTGGTCCATCTGTATGGACTGCTCCATGAGCATATGCTGAGTCAGTGTAGATGTTCACAGTCTTTCCTTCAGCCTTTTCCAGGGCTTGAGTCAAACCAATGATCTCGGCTAGTTGGGCTGAGGCAGGTTGTGGGATGATGTCTGATTCCAGGGTCACGTGTGACCCGTCTGGAAGCTGCTGTACCACTGCATATGCTGCTATGTTCCCTTCTTCTCCTCTATAGCAGCATCCATCGGTGTACAACCATAGATCAGGATTGGTAAGGGGTTCGTTTCCCAAGTCTGGTCGCAGTTTCAGTTCCTGTGCCGCCCTCTCTTCGCAGGAGTGTGCCAACCCTTCTTCTGCATTGAGTGCGTCTGCCATGTTTTTGTCGGTGTTGACAAAAGTAATGTGTGATTGGGTGCATTTATTCTGGATTTTGTTCTTTCTTTAAGCGCTGAACGTGAATTCCTTGCTCATCAGATATGCTGCAACCCCATGGTGCGTATGGATTTCCAATTTGTGGCACATTACCAGGTGGGCGGTTTTTTCAATAGCTTTTGCCACTGCAGCCACGTACCTGGAACATGTTGTCTGACCTGCTTCAATATGGTCCAACTTAGAGGAATGATACATCAGTACTCTTCTCTCCCCCTCTTGTTTCTGAAAAAGGATGGAAGAAGTGAACCCCTCCTTTTCAGAAACATCAAGATGAAATTTGTTTTTGTAGTCGGGTGCTGTCAGAGCTGCTGCCACCGAGAGATCGGTTTTTAGGAGAGCAAATGCTGTTGATGCTTCAGGTGTCCAGGTAAGTGAGGAGTGTAAGTTTCTTGGTCCTGCTTCTCTCACTATTTCTCTCAGTGGTTCAGTCCTGGATGTGTAGTCAGGGATGTGGGTACGGCTGTACCCTGTCAACCCCAGGAAGGACAACATGCCTGACACTGTGATGGGACGTGGATGATGGAGTATGGAATCTCGGTGGGATTTCGAGAGACCAGCACCTTCTCCTGAGATTTCTCTGCCAAGGAAAAGGACAGTTCTGCGACAGGACTGGACTTTGCTCATTTTGACCTTGTAGCCTTTGACAGCCAAGAAGTCAAGTAGGGTTTTTGTCATTTGTAGACAGAGATCAGATGTGGGAGCCCCCAGCAAAAGGTCATCTACATATTGGATGAGTATCACTCCTTCAGGGATTTTCAATTCAGCCAGGTGTGTCTTTAGGATATGATTGAAGATTCCGGGAGAACACCTGTAACCCTGTGGAAGAACCGAATACGTATACTGTTGATGTTCATATGTGAAGGCAAAGAGAGGCTGTGAAGCCTCATCCAGTGGAATGCTGAAGAAGGCATTAGCCAGATCCACAACGGTGAAGTATTGGTGTTTTGGTGAGAGATTACTCAGTGTAATGTGAGGGTCAGGGACAGGTAGGTCAATGGGTGCAGTGACGTCGTTCACTGCTCGGAAGTCTTGTACCATCCGGTATGTTTCACCTCCTGTTTTCAAGACTGGTAAGATTGGTGTGTTCCATGGAGACACAGTGCGATATATGACACGAGCTCCCAACAACCCATCTATGGTTGGTTTGATCCCCATGGTCTGTTCAGGTTTCAGACGGTACTGTGTTCGGTAGATAGGAATTTGTTCAGGGTTGAGTAAGGTGATGGTGACTGGTGCCACCTGTAGTTGTCCAACATCAAATGGGGTGTGTGTCCATATGCCTTCATCAATGGTGGAAAGCAGTGCTTGTGATGAGGGGTGGTCTGTGTAAGGTTTACCATGGTGTCTTGGGAGAGTCAAACGTTCAGGAAGGCAATGTTCCTCTGTGTCAACTGTCATAAACCTCCACATGTTCTCAGTGGTGGCTTTGGTTATTCCTGGAGTTTGGGTGGGTTCCCACTGGAGTTTGGATGCTCTTCTGATCATAGGCCCAAGGCTCCTTGCCTCAAAACCGTGTCCAACTGCCAGTGTAACATGGGGAGCAGATTCTTCGCCCAGTAGGTACCAGGATTTCAAATGGGAAGGTAGGATAACCGGGGCAGCCACTCCTTCTTGTCCACACACTATGGTACAACATCTGATTGTTGGTGTCAGGTGCATCATGTTTTCATCCCAGTCATCGGTATATGGGTCGACATCATTGTCAGTCACATTAAGTGTACAGTGTATTTCAGCTTGAGGAGTCTTGTATGGGTGAATTGTGTAAATGAGTTGTCTCAGCTGGTTGAACTTGAATTGAACCTCAGGGGTTCCTTGGCCGGATTCGATGCACTTCAACCAGTATATTTCTTGGGTCAGGGAGAGCACTGGAGTTGGGATGATGGGTAGCATCAGCACCCTAACTGGATGAACTGGTGTGGAGGTAATGGGATCAATGGAAACCTCCACACCCTTTTCGGTAAGGTAGATTGAACATTTCAGTTTGCACAATAGGTCCCTTCCTAATAGGTTGATTGGACAGTTGGGACAATATAGGAATTGATGCTTCAAATTGGAAGGGCCCCATTGGAAGAGCAATGGTATGGTCTTGTTTTGTGCTTCGGGTGTTCCTGATACCCCCACCACCTGTATTGATTCCGAAGAGAGTGGTTGACGGCCAAGAGTGCCTTCATGTCTGCCAGAGCAAGCCTAAATCCAGATGTAAGGGTTTGAAGTGCAACAGCCAAGCAGACGCTCCCCTTTGGGGTGGGCACTAGGCCCAGGGAGGGTATTTGTCACTTCCGGGGTGGATTCTTATCTGTTGTTTGGTTCTGCTGTTGGTTTTTAAAGGGGGGTCATTTTGGGGTTTTATCAACCCCTTTCCCCTGTTGGCCGATTTTCGATGGTGTTCCCCCTTTCCAAGGGCAACAATTTCCCCCCCATCCTTTGGCCCAGGCTTCCCCTTCTTGCCCCTCTATTTGGTTTGGGGTTGTAGTGGCTGACACCCTCCCCCCTAGTTAGGGGTTTTTTTCTTCCTTTTGGGGTTTTTCATTATTATTGGTGGTCCACCATTGGACCCCCTGGCCTTTTTTACAGACCTAGACCACCCAAGGGTTCATTGTCCGCCCCCCCTTGTCTTTTTTGTATTTTTTATTTGAAAAAAACCTCCCCGGGAGTCCTTGTTCCTTAGTTGTGGTGCGGCGTCCTTGGCCGTCCCCTCCTTTCCTGTATGGTCGATGGTTTGGTTTTGGGGTTCTTCCAGGTTTTGGCCCCCTTCCGTGGCGGTCTGGGTGGTTCCCCGGCCGGGGGGTGGTCCTTTCCTTGTTGCTTTTGGTTGGCTCGGAACTTCCCCAAAACAGTGAAGACTTTCCTTCCCTCCCCCTTAATGCCTTTTTCCCTCTGGGTGTTCCTTGCCCGGCCAAAGGGGCCTTCCACTGCAAGAACCTTTGAATGGGTTAAGGGTTAAATTGAAAAAAGGGGTACCGGGGTGTGCTCTTCCTTTTGTGGGGGGTCATTCATTCTAGGGGTTTGGGATTCTCATGGTTGTCCCCTTTGGTTTGTCTCAGTTTGGGTTCAATCCCCCCCACAGTCTAGTTTTTTGATGGGTTGCTCATCGTTTTCCCAATTCCCCAACTACCCCTTTAGCCCTCGCCCCCCTGCTCTTTTTCTTGTGTTATTGTCCCTTCCCTTCGAATAAGTTAGGTTTTTTTCCCTTCCTTTTTCCTTCTCACTGCCTCCTGTGTTTCCCTAGAGTGATTCCCCTTTGACGCCCCCCCCCCAAAGTACCCCTGCCCCCTTTTCATTTGGGTTTCCTCCCTCCCACACCATTCACTGGGTTTCTATGGTACTCTTTCTTACCCTCCCCTCTTCCTTTAATTTTTTGTTGATATCATTAAATTTTGGAATTTGGGGACGGGTGGGGGGGTTGCCGGCCGGGTTTTTTGTCCCCTTGGGGGCCCCGCCGTTGGCCGGGTCCCCAGAAGTACTTCCCTTTCCTCGCTATGCATTTTCTCTGTGTTTCCCACCCTCCTGTACCACAAAAATGTGTTCAAATTTATTTTAGGATTATTTTGCGGGGGGTTTGTTTGTTTTTTTTCAAATTATTTTAAAATTTTTCCCAAAATATCAGAACGCCCCTTTTGCTCAGTTGGGTTCCCCCAAACATCATCATTTCTGGTTTTTTGAAAAATTTTTTTTCGTCGGTTTCTCAGCCCTATATATACCTTTTCCCGGTTTCAAGGTCCCCCTTTTGAAGAATAATTAACCCCAAGCGCCCCCTGTAATTTCTCCAAAAGGGATTTTTAGGGGGACCCCAAAATAATTGTTTTGTCCATTTGAGTTTATTTCCCAAAATTCAATGCCCTTTTGGTTTTTCCCTCGGGGCCCTTTCCTTTAAAAAAATTTCAATTTAATTTGGGATTATTTGCAAAGTTATAGTTTTAATTAGATATTTTGTTCCCCCAGGCCGAATCCGCCTTTTGGAACAATTATTAGCCCCCTCGACCCAAAAAATTCAAAATTTTTTTAGGAATTATGAAAATACACAAAAAAAAAATTTCAAGTTCAAGCCCCTTTTGGAACAATAAAATAACAAACCGGGGTCCCCAAAATTAAACCAGGTTAGTTTCAAAAGGCAATTTTTTCACCCATGCAGGTTATCATTTTCCCCAAAATTAATTTTTATAATACCATTCAAAACCCAAACGTTTAATTTCAATCAATTGAGTGAATATTTGCCCAAATTTTTGATTGTTTTTTATTTTATTTTTTTATTTCCCAAAAAGGCAAACGCCCTTTTAAAAATTCAACTGGCGTCTAAAAAAAACCCTTTTAATTTTCGGGAATTATCAAAATTCTTAAATTTTTTTTTCAGGGACCAGTTCTTTTTTTCCCAAAAGGTTCAAAACGCTTTTGAACAAAACCTTGAAAAGGCTCCCTATATAAAAATTTTTTAACATTAGAAATAAAACCACGAAAATTCTTCCTTTAGGAGGGGACATAACAGAAAATAAGATTTCGGGTCCTTAAAATAAATCTTTCTCATGAACCCAATCTAACAACATTCAGTATCATTTCAACATAAAACCTAAAATCAGATAACACAAATCCTTTTGAGTCTAATAACTTGTTTAAAAAAACGTAACCATATGCCCATACTAAATGATTTATTTTTTATCCTCAAAATCCCCGTGTTTTAACGGTTCTGCTAAACCTTTTTATTGGGCTCCCGGTTTAGATCATTCCTGAGGGCTGGATTTCCCTTTTCGAAGTCACCCTCCTTTTTGGGTCTGGGCCTTCTTGTCCCCCTGTTCTCCTCAACTTTAGCCGAATTCAAGTAAAAACCACCCCCTTTTAAATAACTTTTTTAGATCACAATTTACGAAAAAAGGACCAAAGTAGGGCCCTTTCCGGAACAATTTGGGTAATGATTTAAGGCAATTTAAAAAAACGAAAAAAAGATATCTTTAAATACCGTGGCAAAGAGTTGTTAATCGTAAGATATCAGAGACGACGTACATATTTGTTTTATACAATAAATAAGTTTTGTTTTTCAGGTTCTGTACCCTTTTTATTGGTCCTTTTATAGTTGGGCGACGGTTCCCTCTCTGCAGGCCCTCGTAGAGTTTTGGTTCCTGTCTTCAACTTTAGCCTTAAGAAAAGGTGTTTTTGGGGGTTGTGTCCTTAACAAGAGAAAGTGGTTTGGGTTGGAAGGTGGTATTGTTTTGGGTTTTGGGTGTTTGTAAAAAGGTGGGATTTTAACAGAGAATGGGTGGGGTGTGCTTGCTTAAAAGTGGTGATTTGTGTGTTTGTTTTGTGTGTGTGAGTTGTGTGAGGTCAACAATTTCATGGCTGGTGGGTTTTGTGATTGTTGTAAGGGGGGGTTTTTGGGGGGTGTGTGTTTACAACCAAGAAGTGTGGTTTGGTGTGTTTTGGGTTGGGTGGTGTTGGGGATGTGTGTGGGAAAAAGATATGTGGTTTGTGCTTGTTAAAATTGGGTTTGGGGGGTTTTGGTTTTAGGGGAAAATTAACATTATATTTTTTGGTGGTTTTAATTTGGGGGGTTTTTTTGTTCTCAAAAATGTTGGTTTGGAAACGAGCCTATGCGTGGTGGTCCCTAAGCCACCTGTGGGTATTTGGGACAAAGAAAAAATTTTTATTTAAATTTTCAAGGCCCAACACGATGGTCATGCACCAAAATTTTCAGACCCGTATAAAATATAACTCACACTTTTTATTTACCACCCTGTGGGTTCCATCATTTATTCAATCTGTAGCCTAATAAACTGCACGCTTTCCCGACGAGTCATAGTGGGGTGACCACACGTCATCACGGTGACTCCAAGTTTACTTCGATATGATGGTTATTATATCAATATTTGCACATAAAAGCGTTTTCCACCGACATTTCTCGCATATTCATTTTGTCGATCCCACCTTGTCTGTGTATTTGGTTTTGTCAACATTTGAAAAGTTTCCATCAGGCCTGTCATGACATTTTTTATCCACATGTACAATACTCGCATAAAAAAGTTGTATATAAAAACCTGGTTACTGACATCCGTGTAGAATTTAAAAGTAAGAAAGTGATTTTCAAAAAACTGCAACGAGTTTCTAGTCATGGGAGGGTATTTTCTTGCTCCCCCCACGTCGCCGCGAATCTGTGTTTTGAAAATCACCTTTGATGTAGAAAACTGGTATTGTGCTGGAGATAATGAAAATGAGGTTGAAAAGTGGAATTTCCCTTTAAGCGAGAAACGTACTGCCAGATCAGTGAGGGGATTCGATTAATGCCCTGGGTGAACCAGGTTAGTGTTAATTGAATTTGTTTTGGAACCGGGCTGCCTCCCGGGCGTGAGCCAGGTTCCGTTTTGGCCAACGGCGAAAGTCTGCTCAAAACAAAAGTGGACGTGGGTTCAGCACGTGGAGTAATAAGTAGGATTCTGTTGTTTTTACATGCAGTGATTTTTTTTGGGGTGATGCTTTGGATCAAATGCTTATCTATCTTCCCAGTGAAAAGTAGTTTGGAAAATGCAAAACATATATTTAATGGAAAATATATGTATGTTTTCTGAATAATGCATCATGCTTCCTTGTTGACAACATGACTGAGTCAGAAACAGATTACTGTTCGATTTGAGAAGGTCGCTCCTCCCTCACTTCTTTTTCCTGTTCCACGTCACAGGGCAATAGCCCGGTGCACCGCGGTTCAGCTTAATCAAACTCCCCTCAATAATACTCAGTAACGTATTATATTCTCACGATTGAAGTCTCAAACCAAGCACTACTTTAAAAATGATTTTATTTATTAATACAGTGGTATACTTAGAAAATGTGTTGCAAAGGGTGGAAAAAAAAAGCATTGAACATAAATAAAAAATAAATAAAAAGAAATGGCAGCCACACTGGAAAAAGAAAGAAGTAGTGTCAGATTGAAGCAGTGTTATCATCATATCAAAGAAAATAGTACGGATGTGCCATAATAAATTGTCTATTAGTACAAAAAAATACATTTCAATAGAACAGAGCATCCTGTATCACAAATAGAGAGAAGGACCGCTCCTTAAAACCGCTCCCCTCAAGTACAGAGCTTTTTAAATGATTTAAACCGAGCACTTTTTCTATTTTTTGTAAATAAGAATAAAAGTTATTTGACTGTTAAAAATGCCTTAAGTAGTAGTAGTGGTGTGTGTGTGTGGTGTGTGTGTGTGTTGTGGGTGTGTGTGTGTGTGTGGTGTGTGTGTGTGTGTGTGTGTGGTGTGTGTGTGTGTGTGTGTGTGTGTGTGTGTGTGTGTGGGTGTGTTGTATGTATGTATGTATGTATGTTTGTATGTATTTATATGTTGGTAGAAAAATTGTATTTTATTACTGCTTAGGTCAGTTCCAAGGCTCAGGGTAGGTATAACCAGAATACAAACATAACCAATGAAATCATCACTTTCTCTCTTTTTTTTTTAAGAAACTTTTTTTTTTTTTACCTCTTTCATACAAAATAACAAAGATGTACAAAAGTGAATTTAAAGCGAACCAAGGCCATATGCTAGCATTATATACACCACTATTTAAACTTTTAATGTTTCCTCTGAAACTTCAATAGCATAGCAGAAAATAAAACAGTACCTCTTTCCCTCAGCCTCAAATA